TGGATTATTGCCGGTATTTATGGAATGTTCAATATCCGGTACAGTTTCCGATCTGTCTTCAAATACGTCTTTTACATTAACTAAAAGGTTTTCAATAATTTCTTTCTCTAGTAGAGACAAGTTAGTTCCTTCTTTATCCTTTAGTTTGAAATCGAACACATTCAGTTCCATTGGTTCTTCAGAAATCCCTCTACGTTTCATGGGAGGAAACAATTGGGAATCAACCTGTGGTATATAATTTTGTGAAACGCAGTCTTCAAAAATTCTATTAATAGATCCAGATCAGTGACGGTGTTAGATGTGGTTGACCTGGTTTGTTCGAACCACGACAAATAATTATTGATCGCCTCGTGACCTTTTACACTGATGTGCGTTATTGGTATCGAACGTATTTCTCCAGGTTTATTCATTTTAAACTCAAAATGTTTATTTGGTTCATCTTTGAAATGCCAACATCTATCTGCCAAATCCAAAACAATATTAGCCTGTTCCATAAAATCGATTCCAATCAATGTTCGATTATCCTTAGCTTTTGGTAAACATATAAAACGTATTTTTCTAAATCTTTTCCATATTAGAATGTTGACTATTGGGGAAAATACTGTTTCCTGCCGGGGTATTCCATCAGCTAAAACAATTTCTGCTGAAACACTCTGGAATTCGACTTTTCTCTCCTTGAGTTTTTGAAAAAGCTTATACCCTGCAACACTGGTTCGGGCTGCTGTATCAAAATAAGCTTCACCGTCCATTCCGTCTATATTAATGGCAACTGTTGGAACATTTCTACCAACAATGGTAGTCGACAAGGAATTAAAATCCAACTTTTCTGGGCTATTGATTGGGTTTTTATTATTGTTGCAATTGGGACAGTTTGCTCTAAAATATCCAGCTGCACCACAACCGTAGCAATTTATTGTCGACTCCTGAACTTTCGTATTTCCTCTTCTGTCCGATTCAATCTTTTTATAACAAGTATCAATTGTGTGATTTTTCTTTCGGCAAAAGGAGCATCTAATATTTGGCCTTTCAAACGGTTCCTGTCTTGGCTTAGGAATTTTATTTTCTTCTAAAAACATTTCAATATCTCTGGCTTTTTGAAGCAAATCTTGAAATGTCTTCACCTCATCTCGAGATAGTTTTTCCCTTATTGAAACATTCAATTGAAAGAATATCATATTAATCATGGTGTTCTCAGACAATCTTTCGGAAAGCTGTGCGAACAATCGTCGTTTTCGACACACAAAAGAGTCAGTGGATTCGAACATTTTCTGTTTATCCTGTGCAATTTCGGCAAATATTCGCCAATCTGGCCTTGGAGGGGTAAAAGCTTTGCGCAAAAAATCTATTGCCATATCAAAATTTTTAGCCTCATTTTGTACTCCTTGCCACCACGTGGATGCATAACCTTCCAATAGCAACGGAAAACTAGTTAATGCTAAAATATCCGACACATTTTGGGCTTCTTTATAAACGAGTATTGTGGCAATAAAGTCTTCGACTTTCGTCGTGTTGCGGCCACCGTTAAACCTTGCACTACAATTCACAAAGGTCGCTTTTGGTTCAGATTTTACATTAAAGTTATTCATTAGTTGATGGAATTGGTCTTGGGTAAGAGTTACATTTACAGCATTATTATTGGACAAATTGCTATTATTGACAAAAGTGCTTGAATTTTGAGACATATTTGAAGTTTGAGCTGATAAATTGGTTACTGGACGTTCATTAGGCGAAACATTTACGTTTTGCAATAATGCGTTTGGAATATCGTCGCCAGAGTTTTGTTCAACATTCATATTTTGAGCTGGGTTAGAAATATTATTCGATGAGTTTGGGGCATTTCCTTGATTTAAAGAACCAACATTACAAACATTAGGAGCAGTACGTGGACTTTTCCTAGCTGGATTTGATAAATCAGCATTTGAAGATGATGATAAATTATTGCCTGAAGTTGTTGGTGTATTTCTGGGGCTACGACGAATCATCTTTTCGATATAATTCTTCTGTACCCACAGACAAACAAAACAAACAAATCTCCAAACAACAACTACAAACTGTAACAATGCCTCCAAGTTACGTGGATTATTTATAGTTGGGCGCCAATGTAATAAGAGGGGATGAGCATGAGATGGTTCTGCTTGCAGGTGTTTCAATTATTTTATAAAGAGGCTGAGCAGACGTTTTCCGTCAAATTTGCCAACTTGTTATTATTTATATAAAAGAAGCCTTGACAGACGTTTAACGTCAAATCAGTCTTTCTTTTATTTTAATATTATTTATAAAATATAAATTTATTTGGTTGTACCAATACACCCCAGTTAAACTACCGGGTATTTATTTTAATGTCTTTATTTATGGAAGATCTCAAGCAGAATGATCAAAAATTCTAAATAACATCATTATTAAAAGAATGTTACAATGCAACGAAACCGAGTTAACGGGAACAAAATGAGACAAAGAGAAATTACAAATAACTTCATATTGATTTGTTATTGTAAAACATAAAGTGAGTGTTTCAAAACAAATTGAGTGTTTCATAACAAATTGAGTGAAACTATAATTATAGCAAAACAAAGGGAATAATGAGTATAATAGAAAACAAAACAAATATGATCGAAAATGTAGCAGTAAAATAATTTGTATAAACATTATTGTTGTTGTTGTAAAAATATATAAGTAAAAGTGCAGCTCGTTACAACCATAATTATCGAGAAATGCTAGTCATTATATGTCCATATATTATTTATTTGCATAATAAACTATATTTTTTAATTTCATGGACACTTCCGCAGTCACTTACACGACTTTCAGAGACAAAATCAAATTTTAAATCTTAAATAAATCGAAAACAATTACATTTTTTACAATTCTCCCTTAATACTTTTCTTTAGAATTTTAGGTGTACTATCAGTGGTAAAAAAGTTTAGAGCCTCCAGTTTCTAACTTTTGAGATAAAAGCCACAAAAGAGCGAGTGACCGCTCGCGACTTCAAAAAACTCTGCGAATTGTGAGAATATTTAGAACTTTTAATATTCTTTACATAAATAAGAGATATCAAGCATTATTATTGCACTTTCAAAACTTCAAAATTTGGCATATCCTTTATTTGCGAAGGCACTGCACTGTCTGCATTTATAGTCTTTAAATTAGTATTTATGCTAAGAACAAGAAGAAAAAATGATAAATGTGGTCTTTCTTTGTATTTTTTGCCCTTACTTTAAGTATTTAAGCACAATTAAAGAAACAAATTCTTCGACTTTGGTTTACCTTTTTGCGGAAGTGCCCAAATGTATTAATTTTATTTTTAAAATATTGTTTTATTCCGATAATAAAATTTTTGTTTCTCCCTGGTCAAGGAACATAATATGTCAAAATAGTTAACAAGGCGAATAAAAATTGATTCGCCGTAACATATCAAATTTGAAACGAATTTTATTCCATCAATCAGAACAACGTATTTTTGAAGAATTAAAAAATTGTTTAGTTTTTTTATTTTAATCAAATAATTTTGTTAAAATAGTAGTGTTATGGATTAAATTTTACTTAAAGGATGCAATAAACTATTAAAACAGAATTAAAGAGATTGGACGATATATTTTCGCAAATACCAAGAGGTCGACCGATACTGAACATGTTTTTCGTGTATTTTTATAGTCTCTCAGAGCTTTTGTGTGAACCAAAGGTGTGAACTAATAACTAAATCATATAAATATTGATGAATTTTAAAGATTTCAGATCCTTTTGCACTTCCCTATGAAATGGAGGCCACACTTTTCCACAAACATAACTTCTAGTAGAATGGAGCATATTGGTCTACATTTTGGGAAAGGCCTTGCTTGTATCGACAAAGCCAAGTTTTAAAGAGTATAAACATTAGTATTGCATATGGTTGATTCATCACCCGTTCGAGTCGTAATTTTCAAGATTTTATTTAACGGAAGTCATTGTAATTGGCGTTTTAATAATATATCGAATGTTCTTCCATACATTTGTTTACATTTGTCCTAATCCTTGAGGATATAATTTGTTCTTCTGTTTGTTGTTGTATAATCTTAAATTCAAGATATAGCGTCACGAAATGTTGGTGTTAGACCCACGTATTAGTCATATATTGAGTTGCCGAAACGATCTAGCTTTATGTGCTGTACATAATAATTTGTGATCAAAACCAATATCTTAATATTAACCAATATCTTAATATTTTGTATGTTCGTTCGGTTCTGGTAAGAGCAAACACCAATAGTTTTGATATTAATATCATGAAATGGACCAACAATTTTCTAATGGCTATGGAAGTTATAAACCGAACTCAACAAAATTTTACATTTGGAAGGACCTAGGTGCTTAAATATGAGGCAAGCTCCGCAAAAAATAAAGTCTAGTGGACTATACTATTTTAAACTATTTTATAACATTTTTTAACAAAATCTGTATTGTTTTTCATTTGAATTTCAAATTTACTTTTTTTCCTACCTACGGCAAATTAAAATAACAAAATTCTTTTGAATATAATATTACCATCAGCTGCCGGCATACGGTTACCTTATTTATCTACCTTGTGATGAGGTATTTTATAACGACATAAAGTCAATTGTGAATAATGTATGTTGATATTTCAAATAGGATCTATTAATATACGTAACGGTTTGTTAGTCGAATATGGCCATATAAATGGTAGGCGATTCAATATATTCTTAGTTCAAACCACAACAAACAATCCGGCTCTATACGAGCAACTGTTAAGCGATGGCTGACTTCAGGGACCTTAGTGGATAAATAATTTCTTCACAGCAAATGTTCAATATAAGTCCATTTTCAACACAGCTTTATACAAAGGTTACGGAATGTTTAAGATCCTGAATGTAGTTTGGTACCATATAAAGAATACAATATCGATTTTAGCTACTTTTAATGTCCATCTCATGGCTATAAAAAGTTTGGCCCACCCGAACTTAACGATTTTTTATGCGTTTTAATTATTTTTTTTTATATTTTTGTTATAGGTGTAAAGTTTGTAATTGGAGGAGATCGAGAAAATAAAACCCCAACGAATGAAAATATTGAGAATGTTACAAATTGGGAAAATGTTTGGTCCTGCCAAACGGCAATACCTATTTATCATATGGCGTTCAGTCCTGATGGAACATTGTTTGCTACCTGTGGACGTAATGACAGACTTGTAAAAATTTGGTATGAAAATAAACAAAGTAAGTATTAAATTTCAATTAGAGCAAAAAACTAAAGTAACTATTTAAGTCGAATATGTACGACAGTGATGATCATATTACTTGCATTGGTATTTGTATGTTAATATTCCGCCTATGCAAAACAAACGGCATGTCTAAATTGAGAGGGAATACGTGTGGTTTGTTTTCACGAAAACGTAAAGGGCTGAGCCACACAGATGTGCGAGCACACAACAGCGATCTTCGTTGTGTTGGTGAATGAAACCATTTCTGGCATTCGCTCGCGAATGACAATGAACATTCGCGAATGCTCAAGGCAGAAACAAGAATAACAACAAACGTTCATGAACTCAATAGTTGTTGGGCAAGTGTTTTGTAATTCCACACATCCCCAACACTTTCTGTTGCAAACACATTCATACGCCGTGTGTGTTTACTTTTTTATGATCTTTTTGTTTGTTGTTATTTTTAACAGAGAATGTGTGTTTTTTGTTTTTTTTTTTTAATGAATGTTTTTCAGCAACCAATGTACGCGAAAGATAGAATCGACAACGCTTGCAGCGAAATTTTTTGCATTATGTGAGGAAATATGGATTAATATTGACATTAACTTTATCAAATCGATTGTTCGAGTAGTACAGAATATATTTTATCAAAAAATATATCAGTCACAACAGTATTGTTGATCAGTAACAGTTTCTAACACAAACAATTTTGATATTTAAGGTTTTTTTAAATAATTTCAAAAAAAAAAAAAAAACATGTACACACAATGTTTTAATTATGTGGCCACTTCAAAGTCGATGTTTTTCATAAAAACTGCTATTTATGACAAAATTGCATGGAATAATTTTCACTAAATCTCTTAAGTGCGGTTTATCAAAGTGTTTTAAATGAAAAATGTTCAAAAATTCTTCAAACGAATCGACGGCTAATGAAAAAATGTTAACCACATTTCATGTTTTACTTACGTGACCACCACTGCAGGTATACATCGGTTATATGAAATCAGTGTAAATTCTAAATATTTGTTTTCTCTGTTATAAAAAAAATTTGAATTAAAATATATGCTTCGTTTATTGATCAAAACATACAAATGCATACTCTAAAAAATAAAAATACAAATGCATACAACGCGAAGGTGTGCAAAGGTCATTATATCACTAATTCCACAAAAACGTCAACCACATAGGCGAAAAATCAATTTGTAATGAGAGATATGGAATTATATAGGAAATATTCTTCGCAAACCCGACAACACATTTTTGTAGAGTAATGGTATGGTTTCTTTTTGTTATTCCACTTTCCCGTGGTGAGGAATCTTGGCAAATATTAATATGTGTGCATCTTTTTTATTAAAATATTTCCTCTATCAGTATACATTTCAATTAGTATTTACTCGTTGTTAGGGTAACCCTAATATTACCACATAAAATGCAACAATCTGGCATCATCATGCATCAGTATCATTGTCTCTTCCTTTTACATATTCATTTAGTCACTGATCAACCACCAATAGATGCACGCCAAAGCTCTGCAAGTTGTCATAATTTATTGTTCTCAACTCATAAAACAACTCTAAGTTTTTATTTAATAAATTAATTAAATTGTTATGTTTAAACATCGTTGTTCATTCAATCGACCACCTCCGAACGTAACAATTTGGCGACGAGGATTGTGAATTGAAAACCACACACACAGTAAGAGAACTGTAACAAAAAGGAATTTCATCGGGCAACAAGGCTGCATATCATCAAGACAACGCCCACAATAAAAGTTGTGGCAGGAAGATTTTCAAGGAAAACATCAAAAAGCACAGGCGCAATTTCATCAGAAATATTCCAACAAGAAATTTTAAGAAATCTTCGGCGATCAACACACACAAATAACAGTTTGCAGTTTCACACTCAACACACACACCACAGCAACTTTGTTCTACCAAGAACTTTTATTGACAGACACAATCAAACATCTTACGAAGTTGTTTGGACGAACAGAAACACAAGTAAGTCTACGTTATAAGTGTCTTCAAATCACAAAATGGATAATGAAGATTTTAAAGAGTACGCTAGTCGCGTCAATCTTCAGTGTGAACTTTTAAAACTGGATGACTTAACCATAGACCAGTTCAAGTGTTTAATTTTCTTACTTGGTCTTAAATCATCACAAGACAGTGACATCAGAATCAGTTTATTAAGGCATCTCAATGAAAGTAAGGAAGTAGTCAACCTAGAAAAGCTAGTTGATGAAACACAAAGCATTTTGGATTTGAAAAGTGGCACAGCACTAATTGGGGGAAGCATAAAACAATGCAACAATATTGGTAAGCCACAACAAAAACAAGAGTTACCAAAAACAGCATGTTGGTATTGTGGATATATGCACTATGCTCAATATTGCCCCTATTCCAAGCATAAGTGTACCAAATGCGAACAGATTGGTCACAAAGATGGTTTTTGCAACAGCATGCACAGGCTGAGCAAATCAAAATACAACAACAACAAGCAGCAACAGAGCAAAACCAATCATGACCAAAATTCAAAGAAGAACAATCATCAGAATTTCATCAAGAACAAAGGAAAATTCAATGCCAAAAAAATACAAGTACAATTCAGGGAATTAAGAAAATATGTCACAATGAGTATTAATTCCAAATAAGAAAAATTACAAGTGGATATAGCCTCGGACATGACCATAATTTCTGAGTCAACTTGGAAACGCATCGGAAGACCTAAAGCAAACCCAACAAAAAACACCGCCAATGTTGCTAATGCTAAAGAGATGGAATTTTTGGCCAAATGTTCAATAGAAGTCTCAATAGGAAATAGATCTGATATATTGGAATGCTATATTAGAGACGTCGAATCACATCACATTCAAAACGATTTAAATGAATCAATGTCAAAAATTCCAGAAACAAACAGCATGATTGTAGATGAAACAAAATCTGATAAAATTCTCAAAAAAATTTTATAATACATGGAAAAAGGATGGCCTGAAAAACAAAATCAAGTGGACCAACAGGTAGCACCTTATTTCAAGCATAAGGATGACTTATATGTCGACGGATGTCTACTTTTAAACTCAAGAATAATCATTCCACAAAAATTTAGAAAGAAAATTTTAAAAAAACTTCATCGTGGACATTTTGCTATTGAAAAATGCAAAATGTTATGTTATGTCTATTGGCCAAACATAGACAAAGATATTGAAGCTACGTCAAAAGATGTCAAAATTGTCAATTAGTAAGTAAAAATCCAGTAAAGACAGACTTATCATCATGGCCATTATCAACAAGAAAGCTAGAACGAGTTCACATCGACTACGCTGGTCCAATTAAAGGATTCTACTACCTCCTAATAGTAGATGCATATTCAAAGTATCCAGTAATTTACCAGACATCGCCAATCACAGCTGCAGTTACAATAAAATTAATGAACGAGTACGTCTCACAATTCGGAAACCCCGAGCAGCTCGTGTCAGACAACGGGACTCAGTTCTGTTCCAACAACTTTGAACAATGGTGCAAGGAAAGAGCAATTCAACATACACGCATAGTTCGTTTTCATCCCAGCTCCAACGGACAAGCCGAAAGGTTTGTTGACACTTTTAAAAGATCACTCAAAACAAAAAAAAAAAAAAAGAAAGAAAAAAAAATGGAAATGGAAAATCAGTACAATGCCAAAACGGAACTAAGCCTACATCGTTCAAGCCAGGAGATTTAGTATATGCAAAAGAGTTCCATCACAACAAATCAAATTGGGTTCCTGGAGAATAGAACAGGTACAGTCACTTACGGCACAGCAATATGGGTCGGAAGTCGCAAAAAGTTAATCAAGGCTCATGCAGATCAACTAAGAACAAGATTAGCCGATGATGTTCTTCCATCCTCAGACGATACATTAGTTATTGATATATTACTTCAGGGTTTCAATGTTCAATTGCCGTCTACAGATTCTACAGCATCACAACAGTCAAGTGAAGATTTCATTACTCCACCAAGTTCACCTGTTGTCAACTATCAGCCAAGAAGAATCAGTCAGAGAAGACAACCAGTTGAAGTCATATCCAGAAGCCCGGCTCAAACCTAAAAGGGGAGATATTAGGGTAACCCTAGTATTACCACATAAAATGCAACAATCTGGCATTATCATGCATCAGCACCATTGTCTCTTCCTTTTACATATTCATTTAGTCACTGATCAACCACCAATAGATGCACACCAAAGCTCTGCAAGTTGTCATAATTTATTGTTCTCAACTCATAAAACAACTCTAAGTTTTTATTTAATAAATGAATTAAATTGTTATATTTAAACATCGTTGTTCATCCAATCGACCACCTCCGTAGGAACGTAACACTCGTATAATACATAAAATTGTTTTTGAGAATTTACTAGAAGTATTGCAACAAATAAGTTCTTTTTTAGGTTTCAATTAGTAAACAGACCCTTAACCGTTTAAGGCAAAAATATAGGAAAACCCTAATTCGACGTTCTATTTTGTAGTTCAAAATTTAATGCAGTTTTTTCAATAGACAAATTAAATTGAATGCAGACTATTAGAACCACTCCCGTACCTTTGCGGTTCATTTCATTTCTTTTGTTATCATTTACAATTCGTTTCAAGTTGTGGATCATCTTTAATGATGTTGTGGTTCTCTGTGAACTCGTTTATTCTATAGTGAATAACTTTTTCATAAACTTTGTCCAGTCAATTTAACATACTAATGGTCTGTAGTATGTTATATTGTTAAATATTGGTACTATTTTAGCTTTCTTGAACGCATTTGGGAAAATAACCATTATTTATACACCAATGAAATGCCTTTGTGATAATTCTGGACATAGTCAGGCATAGCTCTAGACAACATTCAAAATTTCTTGGATTTGTGGCGAACATTATTGAAGTACGATTTGGAATGGGATGACGCCATACCAGATGAATTATACGGAAGGTGGGTGGCTTGGCTATGCGAGGTAAAAAAGCTAAGAGACTTCAAAATACCCAGGTATAATTTT